ATAGCTCTGTAAGCTGTACTGAGAACCCACTAGACCTGAGAAGATGTTTGTTTTCCCACTTTAGCATTAAAAGAATATGCCAGAGGTGAGCATGGTGGCACATGACTGTAATCTCAGTACTTAGGAAGGTGAGGCAAGAGGATTGGATTTCAGGGCCAGCCTGGGCAGCAAAGTGAGACCCCTGTATAAAACAGATACGTGTAAGGAGTAGGGGTGTGACCTGAGTGGTCTTTCCCACACTCATGGCCTTGCTCTGTTGACAGCATCTGGGGTGCCTCAACTGGTGGAGCCTGTGCTCTGGGACTATGGAGCTGACCTGGATGTCCACAGCAAAAGTCAGTACAGGTTGCTCCTGGTGCATGTGCCCGCATGATTGTTTCCTAGTCCTCCATGACCCTGTAACATGAACCCTTCAGCCTGGGAATACAGGCTCCTCATTTGGCTGACCAGCATGGAACAGAAGGGCCATGCAAAGCCCCCTGTGCTGGCATGAGATCCCCTGCTGGCTCCAGATCATCCCAGGTTCTTTCCTGAAAAGTTTATTCCCAATGAGTGATAAACCACGGGCCATATGGGAATGGAGTCTCTTCTCTGCTAGGGTAGCAGCTCTGGGCTGCTCTGGTTAGGCTGTGTATCCAGGGCCTCTCTCTGTAAGAGCTGCTCATCGGCTTGTTTTCTTATCTAGTCTTCCTCATGGGAAAGTACCAGGAGTGTGGCTTCCAGAGGCTGTGGGCTGCCAGTGCCTTCAAGGGGGCCACCGGGGCAAGTCAGGCCCTGCCGCCTATTGAGCACCACGTTAGAAACCATGAGCAGTGGCTCCAGGTGGCGGTCAGTGGGCCAGTGGATACTCTGCAAGGAATCATTCTGACTGGCTGGCAGAGGTAAGGTCAGGCTGAGTGTGGAGAACAGTTCCCCTCACCCATGATGGCAGCCTGTCAATGTTGGCCTTGCCCTTCATGCTCTTCATTCCCTCGTGGCTGAGGAAACACTGAAGTGCTCAGAACCACAAGCACGCGGCCCTCTAGTCTCTGTGGTTTCCATGTTCCATGAATGATACCGCATGTCTCACGTAGCACAGCATGAAGATTAGTTCTGGTTCTTTTAGGATGTCACACCCTTTGAAAAATAGAATGAACCCTGTCTTTGGTTCTGGCCAAATCCTAGCATCAGGTTCCAACCTTTGAGCTGGACCAGTCGAAGCTGGCAATTTTGCTAGAAGAGCTGGAAAGGTGTCCCATGGAGCCTTCACAGGTTCCAAAATGTGACTACAGAGCAGAGTTCTCAGCCAGGTGAGGCTGTCTAGTGTGCTTGTAAGAGCTGCTCATGGGGCTGGAGAGATGGCTCAGAGGTTAAGAGCATTGCCTGCTCTTCCAAAGGTCCTGAGTTCAATTCCCAGCAACCACATGGGGACTCACAGTCATCTGTGATGGGGGTCTGGTGCCCTCTGCTGGCCTGCGGGCATACAGGCAGACAGGATATTGTATACATAATAAATAAATAAAAATATTAAAAAAAAAAAAAGAGCTGCTCATGGCTTCAGTCCATGTCTACTGCTTGGCTTCAGAAACAGTTCTAGATGGCTCATGAAGACTTATCAAGCATTTGCCATTCCAGTAGAGTGCACTAGGGTGTGAGTTAAACCAAGACTCACACAGAGTGAAGCCTTTCTATGCCTTGCATAGTGGCTAGTGACTCACAGAGGTAAAGGAAAACAGGGGGCTGATGTGATCTCTGGTCCCTGGCTCTTTGATCAGCCTTCACCTGTCACACTCGAGGAACATCTCTCTACCCCTTACAGCTAAAGAAATTGAGACCGGAAGGTTCTCTGCCTAGCACCAGAGGGGTCAGATGACCTGCTGGGCCTTAGGGGAAAGCATGAGGTCGATAGATAGGATGCAGACCACAGAAAAGGGGTAATAAAGACTACAAATGCTCCACCTCAAGTGGACACTGTGGAGTGGACCCAAGTGCTCACGGCCTCTTTCCCCACACAGGCTCCTCCCTAGGGCATCATAAGAAACCTAATGTAAAACCCTAAGCCAGGTAATGGGATACACCAGGCTGCCCACAGTGGGTCTCAGCCTTGGAACCCCTCAAACAGGAGAAAGAGTACCCAGATCATGGCATCTTCATCATGATAAGATGAATTGAGGGCTGTGGTGCTGAATACTCTTCTTCTGGACGTAGGTACGACCACTTCTCTGTGCTGTGTGAGCTGCTTCCTGTGGGAATCCCTTCTCTGGCTGCCTGTCTACAGTCACTTGTGCATGGTATGTCCCGGCCAACAGTTTTAGGTCTCTCGCCTACCCTTAGCTTACAGGAAGTGGGGGGCCAGGTGCTGGTTTCCCTTGACCATTCATTGGCCAGCTCCATCTGGACTGCAGTCCTTTTCAGGGGAAAAAGACTCGTGTTTACAGTCCGTCCACTTGCTTGTCTGCCACTAGTCTGGGATTGCCTACACCCAGATCCTTAGCCTGAGCTGCGGGTAGATAGGAAGTTAGAACGGACATGCCCCACAGACTTAGAAAACCTACGTAAGAAATTCATGCTTCAGGTGCAGATGCAGAAGGTGTCTTTGCTGTATACGTGTCCTGCGATGCAGACTGCTCCCAGTGCTCCCACACCCAGGTGGCCTAAGGAAACAACTGACTGCAGGAGACAGGCACGGGCACTGCTCAGAGCAAGTGTAGGCAGTGGGCCTTGGTGAAGTAAACCATGCCCATTTAAATTATAAGACTGTGTAGGAATTTACAATGCTCAAAGGATGGCCACGTGGACAAGAGAGCTCCCCAAAACATTTAACAACTATGGGGTAGAGGAAAGCTGTAGAAGTGGTCTTATTTTCGCTTTTTTTCTGTCAGTTGTTCATTGTAAATGTCTAGAATGTGCAGAAAGACAAGCAGACAGCCCTCACCAGTACTGAAAAGGCATTGGTGTTAGTGGTGTTGACTTTAGCTCTTCCTGTTTCTGAGGAATGATTGTACTGGGGCCTAGGCCTCCCAACACGAAGAAGGAACTATCTGTCAATGGCTTCCTGACAGCCTCTCGCACTAATCTGGAGGTGTGTCTGCCTTGGTCTCACACCCAGCAGTTTGTTTGAAGTGCTCTAGAGCACTCTGCCCATGACTGACCTGGACACTTGCCGCGTGGACTGTGTGGTGAGGCCACGGGCTCGTGCACACAGTACCTACCGCTACCACCACGCCATTCTTAGTGTGTGGTGAGGCCACGGGCTCATGCACACAGTACTTACCGCTACCACCACACCATTCTTAGTGTGTAGTGAGGCCAAGGGCTTGTGCACACAGTACCACTACCACACCATTCTTGGTGTGTAGTGAGGCCTCGGGCTCGTGCACACAATGCTGCTACCATACCATTCTGGGTTCCACCCCGATCTTAAACAAATATCTCTCACATGCTCAATGAAAAAGCAGCCAGCGAGCCTGGCTGGGGTCCCCTGAGTTGCTGTGCCTTTTCACCCATAGCACCCAAAGGTCAGGAGGCCTCTCTGACCTCTTCTGCCTGTGGATGGTTTCAGGAGGCTTTGCTGAGGATGTTAAGCTGAAAGTGGAGCACTTCCTTGGGGTTTCAAGCCTGGAAATAATGGATACTGTGAGGTAATCCCATCCCCTACCTGACATGCCCCACCCCTCCCTCCTCTGGGGAACACCCATCTCAGTGTGACTCTCTGGCAGTGAGGGAGCTGGCTCCTTCCCTGGCAGTGACATCCATGCCCTCGTCACACAAGTCAGCCTCCACCTGCGTAGCTCTGTGGACACACTTCTGGAAAGGAACAGGTAAGCGACTCCATCTTCTCCCGGCATTGTTCTTTACAAAGGTTTTCCTAAAGTTTCCCCACAGTTAACTCTTACCCACTGCTGGCTCACTAACTGTCAGGATTTGCTCTAGGTATGTCACTGGCTGGTTCAGCCCCTACCACCGCAGGCGGAAGCTTATTCACCCGGTTATGATCCAGCACATACAGCCAGAGGCACTCAGGTAGCCAGCGTCATCACATCCTCCCAAGTGCTCAGGGAATATCCTGTCCCTTTATGAATACCCACAGTAGCCATGGTTGTGGTTATCAGTGTTAAGGCAAGAGAGTTCCCCAGATACTGCTGCTGTGGATCCTGGATGAACTGATAGGTCACCGCTGCCTATCAATTCATTAACACTGCCTGCTCATTAACACTGCCCCTAACATTGCAAGAAGCTAAGTGGTTCCTGGCCTGAGACACATCATCAGCCACTCAGATGGACCCAAGACTCATTTTTGGAATCAGGCCACATATGGTCCCTGGTGGCCCTGTAACTCTCTGGTGCAACCTAGCTGAGCACCCTGTGGCTGGAACCTCTCCTAGTTCAGGACTCTAAGCTAGGGTAATACACTTGTGCTGAGTCCAGTGTGCTGCCAGCAGCAGGAGCCATTCATGCCAGGCATGGTACTGCTAAAATACAACCAGTCATTTATTTCGTCCCAGTGGTAAACTGAGGCATGGAACAGTACTGGCTCTGGGGGCTGAGGACATTGTTTAGTTATGTAAACTTGAGCTTTAGCAGGAATTCTCATCAAGTCGAGCTCACAGTTGTTGTTGCCTGCAGCCTTCTGAGCAGATGGAGCAACCTTGTGCAGCAGCTGGAGGCAGCCCTGCAGCTGGCCTTCTACCCAGACACCATAGAGGAGTGGCTGGAGGAGAACGTGCTTCCAAGTATGCAGCGACTGCAGGGTCTGCTGCAGGACCTGGGTGAGGCGGCTGCCCCACTGCCACTGCTACCACCCCCCAGCTCATGCTGGGACACGGGTCAGAACCCCTGAGGGGCTGGGGTCCTCTTTATCAGCCTGGACAACACCAAGATTCCTGCCTCGGTGCCCAGCCACGTGGGGCCTGTGATCTTCCTGCTGAACCCTGGACACCTGTGTAGACAGGCTCCCAAACTGTAAATAGTACCTTAGGCAAAGCAGAACCCAGAAAAAGGCACATGGAGCCTCATTTGCAATTTGCATGTAGAGCTTTATTATGAAATAAAAAAAGACAGTAGAAGCAGAAGTCCCACTTACAGAAACTTGAATCAGCTTTTTGCCACCACCCTGGCTCATAGAGGGCTTCGTTCCTTCACCCAAGAATGAGTCCCAGCACTGGGAAATAGAGGAAAGGGATAGGACAGCACCCGAGAGACAGACTCCTCCCTTGTCTAAAGTACCTTAAGAGCCTGTAGGTGACAAGTCAGAACCCACTGGCTATGTTTCGCACTTCATTTGCGAAGAAAAAAAATTGTCCAATTTGACCATTGAAAAAACTCATTCTGCCAGGCAATGTTGGCACACACCTTTAATCCCAGTACTTGGGAGGCAGAGGCAGGCAGATCTTTGCGAGTTCAAAGCCAGTCTGGTCTACAGAGCAAGTACCAGGACAGCCAGGGCAACACAGAAACCCTGTCTCGTAAAACAAAACAAAAGCTTACTTTGACATGTTCAACCATATTCCCCAAGTCAGAACTGATAGCAGTCACTTCAAAAAGACCTGTTGAAGGTTCTGGCGTAACTATTCCTGTCCAGCCCAGTACAGTGGCCTCAAGGCTGCCTTGACTTCTTTGTTTATAACTCCTCGTTTTCCCAGTTCTACCTGGCCAGGCATAGGCACGCAGCTTTGGGGGTTGTGTGTAGACCAGAGGTCCACAGCTTTCAGGCCTGGAAGCCAAGCTTCCCGGCAACTTAGTGAACACTGTACTTGTGGGGGACTTGAGTCCCTCAGAGAGAACTAGAAGAGCATAGAAGGCCATCAGGGGCTGGAACAGCTTCTGTTAGAAGAGGCCGTGCCCAGGCTGGCCTTCAACTTTCTTCCTGCCTCACTTTGTAGGGATATGTATCACGTGCCTGTCTTCCCCAGGTCTTTCCAAGGCTTGGGAGGCTAAGACTCAGTTTTTGTAAAGGAGCTCCTAGTTCTCAAAGGCTGCAGAAAACCAGAAGAGGTGGCCTTTCCTCCACTGGCAGCTTCTTCCCAGTTTGGGTTGGGAGAGCCTTCTGTTCCTAACAGTGGTGCTCCAACACTGCTGGGCTCTCAGCAGTCCAGGCAGGAACGGGGCAGTCTGCAGCACTCCGACTTCTCTGAGAGTTCTGCAGCCAGGCTGCCTTCAGGGAAACCCCTGACCACCAAGAATGTCCATCTTGAGGGGGGCTGGTCCAGGAGAGGAGACATCAGGATTTATAGCACAAGTCGGCACCACTGTGCACAGGAGTGGGTCCTCCTTACATGCATGTGGGTCCTCCTTACATGCATGTGGGTGTCTCAACCTCACTATGAAGTGTGGGGCCTTGACTACATAGCCTGGGGTGGCAGGCCTCTTCAAGGCAGACACTAGGCCTGTGCTGACCTTGGATGCCCTTGGGTGAGCTTATCCACACCAGGCTGTGACCTAAGCCAGAGCTGTAGTCTGTCTCTGGAGAAGGCACTCATTTCTGATTTGCTGCCCTCCTCTGGATGTAGCACCCATCTCCCGCATTCTGATAGATGCAGCCTTTCTGGGTTGTGGAAGATGTCCAGCCCATGGTTCTGCAAAGCGTAGAAGCATAAACAAGCGAAAGGCAGGTGGTCCACACAAGATCTGCCTGCACCCTCATAACGGGCAAGTCAGTTGGAGACATGTCAGAAATGGGTGGCATTTACCAGCAGCTGCTCCACGCTGTCAGCTTTGGTCACCAGGGCCATCGGCTTCACTGTCGCTGCTCTGTGACCGTTCTGAGGGGCTCTCCAGGCGGTGCAACTCCAAGAAGCTGGTGATGAGTTTGGCAATGGCTTCCACATCACTAGGCCAGCATCAAGAAAGCAGGTCACAGGTCACCGTGGAAAAAATGCAGTCCCATAACACACCACAAAGACCCACACTGATCCCCTACCATACACCTACAACAACCCCAGGTGTCGGAATCTCTGGCCTCGGCCCACTCTTCACAGCCCTCAACCCTGTTTTGTTGCCTGCCCTACAGATGCCCACAGCAAAGCTGCACCTAAGTACACACATCCCTCCTGCTGCCCCATATTCCTGTCTACAAACAGCGTCTCCCCTGCCGCCCCGGGAAACACCACGGGATGCCCAGTCTTACTCTGTGCCACCCTTACCTGCGTCGGCCCATGACTGCACTCTGAGTAAGGGGGTGGGAAAAGCCTGTCGCGAACCGGAGCACCACAGTGTAGCCCCTCCCAAAGTAACGGACCTTCTCCTCCTCCACATTCACATCCTGGATGTCTCTCAGCAGGACCACCACTGGGGAAGGAAGGATTTACAGATGGGCAGTCGTCCATATGCTCCCCCTGTGCCATAGGACAGCCTGCCTCAGGATGTCCCGCTCTTAACAGGAGTGACATCAGTGACAAAGGCGTTTGCTAGTCCTTATTCTGGACTCTGGGTCCAGAATAATTTTTCTTTTAGACTGGGTTTCTCTGTAACTTTGAAGCCTGTCCTGGAACTCACTCCGTAGACCAGGCTGGCCTTGAACTCAAGAAGATCCACCTGCCTCTGCCTCCCACCACTGCCAGGCCCCGGAATAATTTCTGGATAAGAACACACCCAGGAGACTCATCACTCATGCAGTGTTAGACAGAAGCTGGCTGTCCTGGGAAATCCTACAGAAGAGATCGCTAAACCCAAGCTGCCATCTTCATGCTACCCCTTTTTGCCTGATTTTACCTATCTGGTTCCAGTGGGGTGGCCCTGCCATTCCCTTGCACAGGAAAACCGTTACCTAACTAATGCATGGCTGATACTACTTTCCCCAGAGCCACTGGGAAACCTATCTCATCCCACTGCGACAGTGACACGGGGCTGACCCCGTGGCTTGCTGCCTGTGAGGACAGGCGCTCAGATGTGCCGGGAAAGTTCAGCCAGTGCACTAACCCACATCCCCACAATGCTCTGGCCTCCATTGGCTGTTTACTGCCACATCTGAATGCCACATCCGGCTGTGTACCGCCAGCACTCCATATAAGTTAGAGGCCTGAGGTCCTTGGGGCCTGACTCCCAGTGTTAAACGCCTACTCTGAGGGTCCTGTGGGATGCACAATGGCTGGGCTGAATACACAGGGAAGAGACCTACTATGAAGTAATCTATGTTGCTTCATAGGCTTAGCTCACAAGCCCAGAAGCTCAAGGGCTAGAGGTTTCCTCTGACCACATCCTCTCTCCAGGGCTCATATAGCTGACAGGAATCGTGTCCAGGACTCGGACCTGAGAGAGGCCAAATGGTTCCTGAAGAACAGGATGACTCCCTGCTGGTCCGCCTGGTGACCCACCCCTACTGCCCTCACCCAACCGTATGCAGGGCGGGGTACGTGTAAGCCAGGATATGTCGGGAGCCCATCATTCCCTGAGCAGGTGAACCATCCAGACCAACTCCCCACTCTTACCTTGGTCATGGCCTGCTCTGAGAAGAGTCAGCAGCTTCTTGTAGAGACTGAATGTCTTTAAGATGACCTTCCCAGTGCTCTTGTTGAAAATGGCTTCCTGCAAACCAATATATGCTGACCACACAGAACCCCAGGAAGAGGGCCAAGCTGATGCTGAGGCGTCCTCCCCACTCACACCAGCACAGATTCAAGGTGCCCATTGGAAGCCCAACCCCCAAAGCCTCCAGGGCTTTCTTCCAGGGTCAGCTTCTGTGTCTGACCTCTTGTACTCCTGTGGGTGAGGGGCACATGAGAAAAGGAGATGGAATTCTCCTTGCATGAAACCAAGACCAGGCTGGGTATCTGCTCAGTGGTAGAACACTTGCCCAGCACACGTGAGGACCTAACTTCATCCCTTAGTACCGGGTAAATAAAAGAACAAAAGGACAGGCTGGCAATAATGCAGAAATCCAGCCAAGGCCAAGGGTAGGGGACTTCCCCAGAGGCAACCTGACTTTTCCCAGACTCAGGTTCTGCTGATTCCTTTTAACTATCTTGGGCCTGCAGTGAGGTCCTGGATGGTCAGAGGAAGCCCTCAACCCTTGAACTTCAGAGCCTGGGAGCTGGTCCAAATGTGAGTTAGCTGCATGTTCTCACAGGTCCCTGCCCTGTGCAGCCAGTCCAGCCCAGGGACTATGCAGACTTGTTACAACTCCAGAAAAAGGAACTTCTGTGAGTTGAGTGTGGTGCTTCATGCCTGTCAAGAGGCTGAGGCAGTAGGCTTACTTTTGAATTTGAGGCAAGTCTACAAAAAAAAAAAAACACAGAACCTTGGTGAAAACAGTTATGAGTAGCTTCTAGAAGAGTCCAGGGGTATTACAAGCAAAGCCAAGGGCTGACTCCAGGTAACCCAGTGCTGGGACAGACGCTTCCAAATGGCAAGGGAGCTACTGTGCCATCTTACCTCCCAGTCCTCCAAGTTCTGTACAGCTACAAACAGGCAGCCTGTGACATAGAAGAGCTTCCAGCCCAGACTATCTGCAAGCAGACATCGTACATCAGCCCATTAGCTAAAGGAGCCAAGGTCCATGGGGTCCTACCAGCCCAGTCTTCCCTTCCTTTAGCGCAGGTTAGAGGCTTAGTCAACTGTGCTTCTCTGCCTGCCTGGGTTGCTGGAGACATAGGCATCCCAGACTCTGCCTGAGTCCATCTAGGAGATAGGTAGATCTATCCAGCCTTGGCATAGAGCGCGGGGCACATAATTCCTCCCTGTGGCATGGCGGCAGGCAAACGCCAAACAACTTTCTAACAGGAAGAAATTCAAGATGCAAAACATTGGCTGTGGTCATCCCTCAAGGCAAGGCAGAGGCCACTCCAAAGGCCACACACACCAGGACTGCTCACTTGTGTGTGTGTGTGTGTGTGTGTGTGTGTGTGTTCCCATTTCCAAGTACAAGGAAACTGAAGAGGGTAGCATACTTTACCTCCACTGTAATAGGCAGCAGCCAGGCCAGTGGATAATATTCCTGTAGAGAGAAAAGGATTATCTTGTTAACTACAGCTCCCAATAAGCAGGCCTGTCTCACGGCAGGACAGATTGTTCAGGGGCAGCGGGTACCTAGTGCAGGGTTGGTGACACAGACAAGGGACTGGAGAGATGGCTCAGTGGTTAGGAGCATTGGCTGCTCTTTCAGAGGTCCTGAGTTTAATTCCCAGCACCCACATGGTGGCTCACAACCATCTATAATCGCATCTGATGCTGTCTTCCAACATGCAGGAAAACATTTAGATAGAATACTTATATACATAAAATAAATAAATCGTTAAAAAATAAAGGGACTGGAAAGGTAGCTTATTGGTTAAGAATATAGACTATTTTTCCAGAGGACCCCAGTTCTCAGCACTGTTGTAGGATATTTTATCACACTGTGTGAAGATGTTTAATACAATCCTGAATAGCCAATAGCTAGGCAGGAGAGAATAGGCGGGACTTCTGGGTAGTGAAAGGAACTTGGGATGAATCTAGACACTCGCCAGCAAAGGACCAAGTAGGACATGCAGAATGGAGGAGAGTAAAAAGGCCACGTGGCAGAATATAGATTAGCATGAGCAGATTAAGTTATAAGAGCTAGCTGTGGACAAGCCTAAGCAAAAAGCCAAACTTTCACAATAAGTTTCCATCTTGTTATTTGTGAGCTGGAGGTCCAAAGAAAAGTCCAACAACATTGGTGCCTGTACCCATGTCAGGCCACTCACAACCTCGTGTAGCTTCAGCTCCAAGGAGCTAATGCTCTTTTGGACTCCACAGGCACCTAAATGTACCTGCATAGACCCATACATAGATATACATACACACAATTAAAAAATAAAAACAGGACATGCGACCCATGGCATTCACCAGACTTGTCAGCTACCCAATGAAAATGCAAGTGACAGATGTAGGTATCGCCCACATGTGATGAGGAATGAAGATAAGACTACATACAGAATTGTAATACAACACAGAGCACAACATGCAGAGCCTTCACAAATCATAAGGACAGACTACAGAGACGCTGCTGCTGAAGCCACAGCCAGTGCCTCACCTCCAACTCTGCACAGCCTAGCCCACACAAGTGCAGCTGTCCCTGAGATGCAAGAGACTTCTGATAGGCAGTGATGGGGAGAGAGTCCAGGAGGCTAAGCACACTTAACGAAGGGGAAGGAAACAGGGAAAAGGAGAAATGTGAACCCATGATCACCTGTCAATGGAAGAAAAACTAGTGACCTCAAGAAAGCAGATAGGTTGTGGCGCTCGCCTTTAATCCCAGCACTGGAGAGGCAGAGACAGGCAGATTTCTGTGAGTTTGAGGCCAGCCTGGTCTACATAGCGAGTTCCAGGACCGGCTCCAATGCTACCCAGAGAAACCCTGTCTCGAAAAGTGAGAGAGAGAGAGAGAGAGAGAGAGAGAGAGAGCGAGCGCACTGATAGGCTGGAATACATCTCAGTGTTAAGAGAGCTTGCCCAGCATGCAAGGGGACCCTGCATGTCCTCTGAAAGGCACACCAAGGTTAATGCAACATGCTCTATCAGGTCTTGTATTGAGAAGAACTTCTAATAAAATACAAAGAGACTGTTTATATCACTTTTAAGATTTGAGTTGGGAAACATTGGGAAGCCTTACCGACCAGCAGGGACCAAGACCGGATGCCTGGAGCCCTCTTCAGATGGAGGCGGGTGCTGGTTCGTGTCTCCACCTGCATGTACATCCCTGGAACCTGGGCTTCACTTCACAGCAGACTCGGCTGGGAAAGACACACAGCACCTCACCCACTCTTACAGGCGGCCAGGGGAAAGTCCACAGCAGACCCTAAACTCCTTTCTCCATGAAACCATCTCAGCCCACACTTATGTATGGGCACAGGGACTCCACAGCCCAGAAAGTGAGGCCTGGTCTCACTTCCAAACCACAGTCCCATCTGAGAATTCTTTCCTTGACTGAACCCTCGTTTTGAAATTATGCTGTTAGCCCCCAGCAGCTCTCAGGCTTCCGGCACCTTAACTGAGTCTTCCAGAAACACCTCTTCCTACCAAGAAGGGGAACTGAAAGTGCCAGTGTCTAAGTTTCTACTATCATACTAACAATGGCCCAAATGCATCCGAATTAATGGGACGCTGTGGCCAAGACCCCTGGAGACAACACCCCAAACCCCAGTTGTGAGTGGCTCCTTGGATACTCGGGTGCTATCAAGCTTCGTACCCCACCTACATCCTCAAGAATCCTAGTTAGCCGCACAACTCGCCTCCCTCTGGCCTCAGTTACCAACAAGTTCCACAAGCGGCCCGTTCCGCTCGCTCCTCCTCCGGAGTGCACACGCCTGATTTGCTCAACCTGCCCTGTGCCCAATTCAGGTCCGCAAGCAATGACCCGCGCAGGGCACGAACATGAAAACGGGAAGCACAGCCGATGGGAACCAGAACGCCTCGGGACACACACTTGCGCGGGAACCGAGGGGTGCGTACCGAATTAGCGGAAGAGGACTAGGGAACCGTCACTCGAACTTCCGGACTTCTGTCCCGCGGACTTCCGGGCTAAGAACCGGGTAGGGACTTCCTAGGGGTGGAGACTGATTATGCATTTCAGAGTTGTGTCTCGGTTTGGGCACTCATGGGGCGGGACCTTGTGCAGGAGGGCGGGCCGGTCACAGGGCGCCTGAATTTAACCTGGGGCCTGCAAAGAATGGCGTCACTCCTGGCGGTGTCCGAGCAGCGCGTGGGTGTTGTCGTAGGAGCCTGAAGATTGGATCGAAATTCATTCATATTTTGTTGTGGTCCGAGGGTCCGAATCAACCCAAGCAGACACAAGAGGATACCTCACTGCAATACCTAATGTAGGGCATCTGCTATTCCAGAGGTCCTGAGTTCAATTCCCATTAACCACAATGGTGGCTCACAACCATTCACCACGGAATCTGGTGCCCTCTTCTGGTGTGCAGACATACATGCAGACAAAACATTGTATACATTAAGAAAGAAAGAAAGAAAGAAAGAGAGAAAGAAAGAAAGCTTTTTAAAAATTGAATATAGGGCAGCAAGAAGGGGGATAAAAAGGGGGTTGATAGATCAGGGCCACAGAACCGTGATCCCACATGCCTACTGAAGCAAGTATTTAAACACAAAAATCACAAGTACCAGGTTACAGGGTGAACTAGGAAATCCTCCCTCTGCCTCTCCAGTGCTGGGACTTAAGGTGTGTGCCACTACCACCTGGTTGCATCTGGAATTTTAAGGAAATAATAAAGACATTACACTATACACTAGTACAGCATGGGAAACATGGATTACCTGAAGTCGATCTAACAAAAGATGTAAAACAAATGAAATTTGAGGTTTTTATTATAGATGTAAGGGAAAGCACAACCAGAGGCATCTAACAGAGGCCATAGTGAGCATGGCCAGCAGAACAGACTGAGCCATGAGTGAAAGAGAGAGGGGCAGAGCAAGAGAGGAAGAGAGAGGGAGACAAAAGAAGACCCCCAGGGCAGAGAGAATCAAGAGGCCAAGAGAGCGCCTAGTCACAATGACTGGGTCTTATAGGAAAAGAGAGACTAAGGGGAGGGAAGGGAAGCTCAGTGGTGGAGAGGTTTAGGGTAGTGGGCGGGAATGAGAAGTGCTGAGGAGTCGGGCTTGTCTCTTAAAGGGACAGGACAGACCATTACACTCCTGCCTCAACCTCTTTGTTTTTGTTTGCTTGTGATAGGACCTTTCTATGTAGTCCTTCCTGTCCTAGTGTTGTGGGTTATCCACCAGAGAAGACTGCTTGGACATAGAAGTAGAGTCTTTAGTCAGCCAGTGACTACACTGGGTGTTCAGGAACCCAGTGTAGCACCAAGCCTTTCTCAGGGTGAGATTTTAAGCAAAACAACAACAACAACAAAAAAAAAAAAACATATTCTGGGTTAACATATTTCAGTTAACAAGAACAGTTAGCTAGAATCAGAACTATAGAAGCCAAAAAGTAAGGTTAGTATGGTTAGTTAAATAAATTTTAAGAAAGAAGAGGCTTTGTTTGTTTTGGTTTCTGAAGAAGGGTTTTTCTATGTAACACTGGCTGTTCTGGAACTCCCTCTGTACCCCAGGCTGACCTCAGACTCAGAGATCCTCCTACCTCTGCCTCCCTAGTGCTGGGATTAAAGGCGTGTGCCACCAACTTCCAGCTCAAAGAGACACTAGTGCTAAACTAGCTCTATACCTGGCACTCATTCCTGAATGCAGCCCCAGCCAACTCAGCCAGGAGTTTTTGAAGGCAAAGAATACAAGGTTATATTCTGTTCTAATGTGACCAGAAGGTCCCCTTGTCCAAAACAAGTATTTATTACAGAAGCTGAAACAGCAGTAAACAATTAACCCTTAACAGTCCTTAACTTTTGGAAGTCTAATTAACTTTGCTTTATAGTTCTCTTAAGCACAGAAATTTAAAAATTTTAAACTTAACTTTAGCAGCAGAGCATGCCTTTAATCCCAGCACTTGGAAGACAGAGACAGGCGAATTTTTGAGTTTGAGGCAAGCCTGGCATACAGAGCAAGTTTCGGGATAGGCTCCAAAGCTACAGAGAAACCCTGTCTCGAAAAACAAAACAAAGCAAAACAAAAAAAAAAATTGTTAGTTATCAACATAACTTTAGCCATTACAGTGGTATGTGGCTGAGTTTTACAGCTTGAATGGTTCCTTTATGTGGACCAGGTTGACCTCAAACTCAGAGTTTCTCCTGCCTTTTCCTCTCAAGCACTGAGATTCAAGGCACGTACCAACACACCCAGCTGCTTTAGGTTAATTCCCCGCCCAGCTAGTTTTTTAAATCACTAACTTTGGAGTTCGCACAGCCTAGTAATAAATTATTTCTCCTGGTAGGTTTGTACACCTCTCCCTGTACCTGTTAAGGTCTGAGCCCACTTCCAGGTTTGAAAACCTATCAAAACCCACCAATCTCTGAGCATGAAAAAACATCAATCCCTTAGCTAAACATTCCACCTATCCCTGGGCTTGGCTTTAAATCTCACCAGTTCTCACCCTGGAAATCTCCTCCTTCCTATATAAACCTGTCTCCTGCTCAGTTCCCTGCTGCTTCTCACTTGAGCAGAGGCAATAACCCTCTTGTATTTCTCCCAATAAACCATGTGTGAGGTTTGTTGTGCTGTGTGACTCTGTGTTACTCCTTGGCTCAAAACTGCCAGGAAGCCTTCCCCCTCAGAGCTGCAACACTTTCATAGGGGAAACCTTCCCCTCAGAGCTGCAATAGCTCCATTGGAGAAGCCTTCCAAGCTGTAACATGGGCATGGGAATTCCCACAGAGCTGTCAAACTTGTATTGGGGAAATCTTTCCCCACCGAGGAAAGCTCTAACACTTCTGTTGGAGAAGCCTGAAAGAGACACCCCCCCATACACACAACAGCAGCGGCTTCCTCCCAGACCCCGGGTTAAGCACAAACCACATCCAAACACCTGTTTTCTTACAGAGATCCTTTATTAAGTGGGGGGGAAAGTTAAAGTGGCTGCTCTCTGACTTACGCACAAAACAGCAGCAAATGACCTTGCAGGTGTAATTTTTACGAGAAAGAGGAGGGGAGGTTATGTGTTACGTGCTATGATGAGCTAGGATGTGGTGGTTAAGGAGTTAGGGGATGAAGGAGAAGGGAAAGGCAATAAGGAAAGAGGGTAGGAGTATTTGTCCTGGAGGGACAAAGGGCTGCCTCTGGATGGAGAGGAAACAGATGTGGCACACAGGCAAATGACAGTTTATAAAGGTAAAGGGGAAACCCGTGTTAGGATGAGGTGTTAACTTTAATTGGACATGTTAATTAGGTTAACCAAAGGGGGCTTTCGATTGCTGGACTTTCCTCAGGAGGAGGAAGTGACCAGGAGGAAAACCTTAGTGGCTAGCTTTAGGAATGTAATCTAACAGTTTTTAGCAAAGCAGAGGGAATGGAGAGAAGAACAAGGTCTGCCAGAGCCACATGCTCAAGTGGGCTAGTGCCCCTTTAAAACCTTTCCTCTCAGGACAGAGCTGTAACACTTCCATTGGGGAAGCCTTCCCCTCGAGCCGGAACATTGAAAGTACCAATGCAGTAAGCTAAAATTGTTCTCTGGTGTGGCGTTTAGTGATTGAGCATTTGCATGCATGCAGAAAGTCCAGTTTTGTGAGTGTAATTGAGGGTCTGAAGGGTAGATTGAAAACCAGCTGACCAGCTGCACACGCTTTTAATCCCAGCACTCTGGAGGCAGACAGGTCGTTCTCTGTGAGTTCAAAGCCAGCCTGGTCTACAGAGCGAGTTCCAGGATAGGCTCTAAAGCTACAGAGAAATCCTATCTTGAAAAACAAAAATGAAAACACCAAAAAATCCCATTCCATCCTGTAGGAAGCTCCTTAAGCAGGAAGGTAACTCAGAATAGCTTCTGAAAATAACCAGATTCACTAGGCCTTTTCCCTGCTCGAGATAGTCTCTCAGAATTATGCTGAGCTGCAAAGAAGACTCTCAGATCAGACCAGCTACCTGGAAGATGTTTAGACCAACTGAGGCACCTGGGAAGGACACTCTCCAGCCTCTTGAGCTGCCTGCAGGCTGTGGAGTGTGCTCCAGGTTTCCTGTGAACCCTCACCCAGCTATTGTTGGCTTTGGTGATGCAGCTGTCTTTTGATCATTTCTGCTCCTATAAGTAACCCCTCACCTATACTCCTGCAAGTAATCTAATAAAGCCAAGTTGGACTCTGTTAATATCCATACTTTGGTCTGTTACGGGTTCCCTATCTGGGGTAAGTAGACATGTATGCATGTTGTGTCTCCCCAGGCAAAGTTCTGTCATACAACACTGCAAAATAAGAAGTAAGCACATGTCTGCAAAGAGTTCAGTATGCCATAAGAAAACATCTTGTAGGGCTAAGGATGGAGCTCAGTACAGAATATTTACTTCTATTTTTTAGATTTGTTTACTTATGTTTGGGACAGGGTATAGTGGTAGAGTATTTGTGCGATCTGGGAGCTGGGTGGCGGGCCCTCCAAAAAGCCAAAAGAGTAAAACATCACACAAGATACTGAAACCAGGATGTGACAACCAGCCCTAGCCTGATGGCACTATGTGACTGCCCGCCCAGAAACAAACGGCTGTATCCCACTCATTAGAGACACTTTCCCCGGAGTGCTCTGTACTGTGTAATAATTTACACTTAACTCCCCTGTGATGGCTAAAGACACTTATAATGGTAACAGGCATTCCTTTAGAGCTGTTGACCCCTGTAATGCTTGTGACATCCTTGTGGCCTGCAGATGGGGTAAGAACAGGATAAAGGCACGGGAGGGGGTGGGAGCAGACATAGCCAGATCTCTGTGAGGTCAGCCTGGTCTACAACCATGAGTTTCAAAACAGGACTGTTACAGAGAAACACACACAGAGTATAATGGTGTTCCTGTTCTGAGCAATTGTTTGCATTTTGCTTTTGTAATGAAGGGATAAAAAGCAATGTTCCTGCCCAGCCGTGGATTCCCTAGATAACTGTAATGCATACCTTTGATATCCACCTTTATAAACCCTCACTTAGCCCCTCTTTCAGAATGCTGTTTGCCTCTAAGGGTGACATCCTTCTGGTAACAGTAAAAATAAATCCATTTACTCTAAATTTGAGTTGAGTCTGTCTTTGGTCTTTCCCAGTAGATTCCAGAGCTGCAATGAAAGGATAAGTCGTTTAGTCTGCCTTTGAGACAGGTCTCACTGTGTAGCAGTGTAGGACAGGTTGGCTTTGATTTCACCTTTCTCTTGCCTCAGTTTCCTGAGTGCTGAGATTACAAACCTACACCAATAGAGGGCTGGAGAGAAGGCTCGGAGATTAAAGAGTACTGTCTGCTCTTCCAAGGGTCCTGAGTCCAACAACCACATGGTGACTCACAACCATCTGAGATCTGGTGCCCTCTTCTGGCCTGCAGGCATACATGTAGACAGAACACTATACATAATAAAAAAAAAATAAACCTTAAAAAAAAAGTCGGGTGGTGGTGGTACACACCTTTAAGCACAGCACTCAGGAAGCAAAGGTAGGCGGATCTCTGGGGGTTAGAGAACAGCTAGGGCCCTGTGTCAAAAAACTTTTTTTAAAAAATTCACCAACATTCCTACTTATGCTACCAGACTGTTTTTGTTTGTTTGTTTGTTTGTTTGTTTTGACAGGGTTTCTCCGCGTAGCGCTGGATAGCTGTCCAGGAACTCTCTCTGCAGACTAGAGTGACCTCGAACTCAGAGATCCGCCTGCTTCTGCCTCCCGAGTGCTGGGACTAAAGGTGTGCGCCACCCTGCCCGGCAGAATTTTAGCATTTTCTTAACTGTAAGTGATATAAGGTATTCCATGCCAACCTTCAAGGTCAGCCTACTTTCAGCCTGCCCTCCAGACTCAGCCAAGCTCACAAAGCGACGCAAGCCTGCTGCGCATGTGCACGTTTACAGCACCAGCCTACGTGAGGCTTGGCTGGGTGGTCATGGCGGTGGCAGAGGGCGGCGCCTACCCCGCCCTCGAGGAGCTGCAGTGGCTTCATCGAGACGGCCGGGCCTCGGCCTCCGCGCAAGGCGCTCTGCAGTCGCCGCGGACCGCGTCCTCCGCTCGGCCAGCGCTCTTTTTCCGCCGCCTCCGCCTACCGTGGCCGCTCTCACCGGCAGACCTTCCCGCGGCCCGTCTACTTCCAGCCGGAAGGAAAGCTCCTCCCCCATTTTCTGATTGGCTCTGGGGAGGGACCTGCCACTTCCTGGCCCTCTCATTGGCCTAGACGGAAGAGGAGGCGTGGGTGTGCCATACCACCCTCGCACTCGTCTCATTGGTCCAGGGGCGTGACTCATCTTGTTTCGACTCTCTCATTGGTCTACCACCGTCCTGGGGGCGTGGCCCCCGCGGATGAAGACAACAAAGGGTCGCGGGTCGCTAGCCGGCGGCAGGCGGCAGTGTTCCAGGCTTCCTCGTTCGGCTTAGCTGAGGGTGTCGGCCTCCCACCAGTCCCGCTCCAGATGAAGTGTGAGCACTGCACACGGAAGGTGGGTGCGGCGTCCCGTGGGACCGGGGGCGAAAGCCAAGACTGTGCGGACCGTGCCGCGGGTCGGGCTCGGCCGCGTGCACCTTCCTTTCTGTTCTGTCAGTCTCTGGTAGCCGTCACCTGTCTGCCGGGGACTGACCGGGCGGCGAGCTGGCTGCGGGCCACTGCGGGCGGCTGCACCGCCGGACTCGCTGTGGGGTCAGTGCTCCATCTCAGTCCTGGCACGCTGGCTCCGTGGAAGTCAAGGCTTAATGCAGTGATCAGAAATGCCTTGATGACTCTTATATTAAAACAAGGACAAGAGGCAGGCGGATCTCTGTGAGTTCGAGACCAGCCTGGTGGTCTACAGAGCTAGTTCCAGGACAGGCTCCAAAGCCACAGAAAAACCCTGTCTCGAAAAACCAAAAAAAAAAAAAAAAAAAGACAACAAACCAGCATACTTACAGTATCAATGAAAACGAGCGAAGAAGGAATTAAGGGCAGGCCCTCCTGTCCTGCTCTGCTGGGTGGTTGAAATGTCTGACAGCAGCCACACTTGGTTCCACATGGGATAGCCATGTGATGCATGTGCAGGAACCTTTTTTTTTTCTTTTTGACAGAGATTGTATCATATCCAAACACCCCATAAGTTGTTCCTTTTTACTTCTCACCGTAAGTGGTAATTAAATGTCTTTCAGGGAATCACCTGTATTCTTGTGTGATAGCCATCTAAGGGTTTTGGTATCCATTGGGTTATATCTGTTCTTAGTAAAACAGTGCAGATGGAGGTGTGTGTTTATGTGTATCCATCTTTAAATATGGGTGATTTTATTTCTGTAGAAAGGGTTTCTAGAAGTAAGACTTACCTGTTCAGGATATGTTTTGTGTTTTGATAATGGAGAGAATCATGCTAAATTATTCTTGGCTGAGCTTGGTGGTACACACCTGTGATCCCAGTACTTGAGAGATTGAGACAGGAGATCACAAACTAAACGTTAGACAGTGCAATTTATCAAGAGCCTATCTCATTTTTTAAAACCTGGTGTGGTAGCACACACTTTAATTCTAGCACTCAGGAGGCAGAGGCAGGAGGATCTCTGTGAGCTTGAGGTCAGCCCCTTCTACATAGTGACTGCCAGGGCTATATAGAGAGACCTGATCTCAACAAAAGCTAAAATAAAGAAAATAGAAGAAGAAAGTTCCCTTTCTAACATTTCCTTGTCTTTCTCCATCCCCTCTTTTCTTTTCTTTTTTCTTTCTTTCTTTTTTTTTTTTTTTTTTTTAGGAATGTAGTAAGAAATCAAAAACTGATGACCAGGAGAATGTGTCCACTGATTCATCAAGTCCAGCCCAGGAGAATGAAGAGGCAAGTAAACATTTGAGTTTGTGTCGGCCTAATGTGAGTGGGGGGAGCTGCGGCTGCGTCGTCTCCTGTCGGGAGTTCATATCGCCTCGCACTTCACGCACTAAGAAAGATTGAAGTAAGAAGTGGCAAGGGCCATGTATAGGCCAGTCTTGAGTCATCTCACACACCAGGCCAGGTACTCCGTGAGAAAGAGGGACATCCTGGTGCGCTGTTGAAACCTGTGTTCTGTGAAGTGGAAGGGATTTAGATTCTGTAACATGTGAAAAGACCTAACTCAAGTTTCGTGATTCTTTAAGCTTGCTGTTTAGGTGGCTGTTTCTTGAGTTCACCATAGCGATGCTTGTTTTGTATTTATTACACATCACAGTCTGAGCTGGGTTTTATACCTACCTTACTTCATGCTCTGGGGGCATTTGCCTATCTCTGCATGTGTCCTGCCATGTTCTGGATTCACAGAGAAAGTTACGGTCACTGTTCCCTTAGAAAATATTAGGACTAGTCAGGCATGGTGGCATACCAGTGAAGTCCCAGTTTGAGTCCTGTCTAAGCTATACAATGAAACCTTGTCCCAGAAACAATAACCGAGAGATAAGGATTTAAGTCAACAGACTGATTGGCTAGCTAGTGTGAGGCAGGCCCTGAGCTCAGTCACAAACAGACACATTAATTTTAGTGCTATTTAGATAGCTCAACTGGTAAAGAAACTTGCCGCCAAGCCTCAGGATCTCAGTGTGATTCCCAGGACCTATGAGTGACATGAACACAAGATGACATGAAAGAACATTCTCAAGTTGCCTTTCTACCTCCACACCAACACATGTGCCATGGCTCTAGCTCCCCACCACACACTATTAGGCAAGCAATCAGTCAGTGTACAAAAACAGCTTTTTTATATAAGCGGAGAATTAATAACGTGGGAGAGTTAGTAGTTCTGATGTTCTGTTTAATCTGATGGGCATAGCTCTTGCTCTCCGGTGTGCCATGACTGTGCTTTGGGGAACAGCAGTGGCCCCTGGAGTTCTGGGTCAGTTTGGGCCTGTGCTTTAGACACCAGGACTGCTCCCTCATGCCTACACCCTGTTGCATGGTGTTGGAAAGAAATCCAATCCCACTGGATGCGAGCACACACCTGAGAAGTAGAGGCCGGGTGTCAGTGTCATGAGTTTAAAGCTTGCCTAGACTGTACAGCAAAATTCCATCTCCAAACAACATGAAATAAACCCACAATCTTTTGAGGCCCTGTTTCTTATCAGTGTTGTGGGGAGTTGGCTTTCTTCCCTCCTAGGGTTTTGGTGAGGACGAGATAAGTCTGAACACCATCTAACCAGTACCTGAGCAATGTAGTGTGGACATACTTGGGGAAGGGTTGGTAGACTGAGCCCTTAAGGTGAGAATTCAAGGTAGGATGGAGCATCAGACGGATGTCTGCACCACATAAATGCCTGGTGCCCACTAAGGTCAGAAGAGGGTGTTTGAGGCCCCTGGAACTGGAATTACAGATGGCTGCTAACCACTATTTGGATGGTGGGAATTGAACCTGGGTCTTCTGAGAGAGCAACCAGTGCTCTTAACTGCTGAGCCATCTCCAGCTTCTGTTTGCTTGCTTTTCTCTCTGAGGCAGTGCCACACTAAGCATCCCTATGGCTTGGAACTTGGTCTATACCATGCTGGCCTTGAGCTCTGTGATCTTTTCTCTGCCTCGGGAGTTCTGAGATTAAAGGCATGTGCCGTCATCTCCTGGCTTATTTTATTTATTACTAATACAATCTGAACTTAGAACCTTGCACTTGCTAGGAGAGGTGTGTCAGTCACCCACACCTCTAGCTCCTAAGCACCTTCTAGAGGTGCTGGGCAGCATAAGGAACTTAGGTTGCCAGCCTATGTGAGTTCATGAGGGAGGGACAAGCAAGTTGACAGTGTGGGAGTGGACACTGAAAATAAACGTCAGGATGCCAGCTCTGTTAGGGCCAAGCGTGGCTGAACATGAGCCCTTGGGAAGGGCAGGGCAGGGCAAGGCAGGCAAGAGCTGTGCTGTGGCCCCTGTTCTGAGCGAGTGCTGTCAGAGGCTTTGAGCAGTGGGAATGTGGCTCGTGCTTTAGTGGATTCCTCTGGAGACTGAGAAGGACAAGGGTGGGGCACAGGTGTTCAGCACCCCTTTACTGAGCTGGGAGTGGGGCAGTTCAGAGCTGGGGGCTGAGCTCTGTGTTGCACACAGGTGGAAACCTCAAGCCATCATGACTGTATGGAAAGTCTGCTTAGCACCGTGGAGCTGGAAGAGCTCGGCAGAGAAACCTGAGGCTTGTTACAGGCACTGGAGAGGAAGGGTGGAAGGAGGAGATGGCCGTCAGGCCAGTTTGCAGCAGGCAGGAGTATCATCTTTCCACACGATAACACTGGGGCTAGTTCACCCTTGTTCATCTGCTAAGTGCCGTCAGGGGCCTTGTGCCATGACATGTGCCTCCAGTGCCGTGAGCTGTTCAGAACGGCGACCATTGCTCAGTAGCTCCACCTGACACTTCAGGCATTCAGGCATGACTTTGTCTCCATGTTAAGTGTAGATTTTTTTCTTTATTGGGCTTATGTAGTTACCCTCCCTAGAGAAACAGTGCTACCAAAAAATAAATGAAACAAAACGAAACATAAAAGCAAACAGGTGGATCTCTGAGTCTGAGGCCAGCCTGGTCTACAGATCGAACTCTAGAATTCTAGGAATTCTAGGCTACACAGAGGAACCCTGTCTTGAAAAACCAAAAAAAAAAACAGAAAAAGAAAAGAGCCGGGCGGTGGTGGCGCACGCCTTTAATCCCAGCACTCGGGAGGCAGAGGCAGGCGGATCTCTGTGAGTTCGAGACCAGCCTGGTCTACAAGAGCTAGTTCCAGGACAGGCTCCAAAACCACAGAGAAACCCTGTCTCGAAAAACCAAAAAAAAAAAGAAAAAAAAAAAAGGAAGAAAGAAAAACAAACAATGTTAACACCATTTTCTTTCCTAGAAGGGAGAATTCCATAAGCTGGCAGATGCTAAGATATTTCTGAGTGACTGCCTGGCATGTGACAGCTGTGTGACTGTGGAGGAAGGGGTCCAGCTTTCCCAGCAAAGTGCCAAGGACTTCTTCCATGTCTTGAATCTTAATAAGGTATGGGTGTCAGCTGGAACTGATGGTGCAGGCCTGTAGTTCCAACTGCTGGGAAACTGAGGCAGGAGAACTACAAGCTCAAAGTCTGCCAAGGCTACAAAGTGAGCTCAAGACCACACTGGGCAACTTAATAAGACTTTGTCTATGAATGAATGACTGAATGAATAGCTCAATGGTAGAACACTTGTACTCGGTTCAATCCTCAATATACGTAGATAGATAGACAGATACATAGATACATACATAGATATATAGATACATTCCTATTAGGGATATTATTACTGTGATGAAACACCATGACCAAAAGCAAATTTGGGAAGAAAGGATTTATTTGACTCATACTTCCACATCTTAGTGAGTCATTGAAGGGGAAGCCAGGTTAGGAACTCAAACAGGGCAGGAACATGGAGGCAGGAGCCGATGCAGAAACCATAGAGGGGAGCTGCTTACTGGCTTGCACATCATGGCTTCCTCAGCCTGCTTTCTTATAGAACCCAGGACTACCAGCCTGGGAAGGCACCACTCAAAATAGGCCCTTCTCCATCAATCTCTAATTAAAATGCCCTGCAGCTGGATATTTTCTTTCTTTCTGTCTTTCTTTCTTTCTTTCTTTCTTTCTTTCTTTCTTTCTTTCTTTCTTTCTGTGTTTTGCCTGCTTGTCTGCCTGCAGGCCAGAAGAGGGCACCAGACCCCATTACAGATGGTTTTGCACCACCATGTGGTTGCTGGGAATTGAACTCAGGCCTGTGCTCTTAACCCAGTGCTCTTAACTGCTGAGCCATCTCTCCAGCCCCTCTGCAGCTGGATCTTATGGAGACATTTTCTCAGTTGAGTTTCCCTCCTTTCAGATAACTCTATAGCTTGTGTCAAGTTAGCATAAAACTAGCCAGCACAGATAGAGAGAGAGAGAGAGAGAGAGAGAGAGAGAGAGAGAGAGAGAGAGATCTGGCCCCATCAGTGTCTGTCACTGTACCTTGGTTCTTTGTATCTACAACTTGTTCCTGATGGGATGGGGGCCACTACTGCTTTGTAGAACATACTACATTCTATTGTTCTATTCCACAATGTTGATTTTTGTGGGTGTGTTGGAATTCTATGGTTAACATGTGAATTTTGTATGTGGCATTTTATAAACTTAGTCTATGACTGATTTGCCAAAGTATTTTAGTTTTATAAGTCTATTAAATGAAAAAAATTCAATTTTGTAATCCTTTCCTTTTCGTGTTGTATGACAATATCTAATATTTATCAGGCTAGTCCCAAAATTTCTATTCTCCTGTCTCAGCCTCTACAGTGCCTGGATTGTAGGCTTGTGCTACCATGACAGAAGCTTTGTACATCTTGCTTTTTCATATTGGCTGGAACTTTTAAACTGGTGCACAGTAACAGTGGTGATAAGCAGTACTGGTTAAAACCTTCCTATGAGCCGGGCGATGGTGGCGCACGCCTTTAATCCCAGCACTCGGGAGGCTGAGGCAGGCGGATCTCTGTGAGTTCGAGACCAGCCTGGTCTACAGAGCTAGTTCCAGGACAGGCTCTAAAACCACAGAGAAACCCCGTCTCGAAAAACCAAAAAAAAAAAAAAGAAAAAAAAGAAAAAAACCAAAACCAAACCTTCCTATGGACATTAGTGGAAATGCTTCTAAGTTTACTTCTAAGTTGGGTTTTGTTAGGAATTTATTGTAGATGTCCCTGTCATCCTGCATTTCACCCAGATAATGAGCTCCGTCTAGAGCCTCATAGACAGCACCAGAAGCCTAGGCGTACAAGAGATGTGCAGCCGATCCTCCTGCCTCCCGTCTCCTGAGTGATGAGGTGACAGTCAACCACTCACCACCACACCAAGACCCTATGCATTGTTCTTGTTTGCTTGTTTGTTTTTAAGACGGGATTTTCCTTCTCTGCGTAGTCCTGACTGTGCTAGAACTTGCTCTATAGCCTATAGTTTTTTCTTTTCTTTTTCTTAAAAAATGTATTTTAAAACTTTTATTCTTTTTTTTTTTAAATATTTATTTATTATGTATACAATATTCTGTCTGTGTGTATCCCTGCAGGCCAGAAGAGGGCACCAGACCCCATTACAGATGGTTGTGAGCCACCATGTGGTTGCTGGGAATTGAACTCAGGACCTTTGGAAGAGCAGGCAGTGCTCTTAACCTCTGAGCCATCTCTCCAGCCCAAAACTTTTATGTTTTGCTGGGCTTTGGTGGTACATGCCTTTGGAGGCAAAGGCAGGTCAATCTCTTGAGTTCGAGGCAGCCTGGTCTACAGAGTGAGGTCCAGGATAGCCAGGCCTACACAAAGAGAAACCCTGTCTCAAAAACAAAACAAACAAAAACTCCATTTACTATGAATTTGCCGTCGAGGTGTCTGGCTTCGCCCCTGATGCAGTCGATACACGTGTGACATTGCTGTTCTCCCGTCTAGAAATGTGACACCTCAAAGCACAGAGTGCTGGTCGTGTCTGTGTGTCCTCAGTCGCTGCCTTATTTCGCTGCTAAATTCAACCTCAGTGTCACCGATGCATCCAGAAGACTCTGTGGCTTCCTGAAAAGTCTTGGTGAGTCAGTCACTTTTTATTTTGTTAGTTGTGAGACAGATTTGGCTGTCCTGGAACTCACTCTGTAGACCAGGCTGGCCTCAAACTCACAGAGATCCGCCTACCTCTGCCTCCCAAGTGCTGGGATTAAAGGCGTGTGCCACCACTGCCTGGCCAGTGACTTTTTTTTATATATATATTACTGTTGGTATATACTTTAAACTCATGAAGGGCCCTTTTTAGTTTTCAGTTTCAATTTTCAAGGGCACAGGATAGAAAAACTTTGAAGAAACCCCTGGAACGTCAAAACCCCATTCCTTGTGTCATGAGTCCAGCTTCCTATCAGTGGTAGATGGGTGTCACACACCCTCTGCTGTGTGCAGACAGAAGTTTTGTTACAGTGAGGCTGACTGGTCTATTGTAAGATGTGAACCGCTTACAATATGGTTGTGTCTACCTATAATGCTAGCATACAGAAGCCTGAGGTAGGAAGATTACAACTTCATCGCCAGCCTAGGCTACACAGAGAGAGACCTTGTCAAGATTAACAACAAAAAGCCAAGTGTTCTGGTCCACGCTTTTAATCATAGCACTTGAGAATCAGACAGATCATCACAAGTTCAAGACTAGCCTCGTCTGCATAACTTAATGAGATCTGGACCAGCTAGGGCTGCATAGTAAGACCCTGTTTTAATATAAAATGAAAGGCAGAGAGTCCACAAGTTCAAGACTAGCCTCGTCTGCATAACTTGATGAGATCTGGACCAGCTAGGGCTGCATAGTAAGACCCTGTTCTAATATAAAATGAAGAAAGGCAGAGTGCCGGGCGGTGGTGGCGCACGCCTTTAATCCCAGTACTTGGGAGGCAGAGGCAGGCGGATCTCTGTGAGTTCGAGACCAGCCTGGTCTACAAGAGCTAGTTCCAGGACAGGCTCCAAAACCACAGAGAAACCCTGTCTCGAAAAACCAAAAAAAAAAAAAAAAAAAAAGGCAGAGAGTGCTTAGAAGTCAGATGTGGTCTGGACCCATACTTGGTCTGAGAGAAACATCCATGTCCCTCTGTCCTGCAGGGGTGCACTATGTATTTGACACCACAATCGCAGCAGATTTCAGCATCCTGGAGACTCAGAAGGAATTTGTACGCCGGTATCACCGACACAGTGAGGAGCAGCGTGAACTACCCATGATGACCTCTGCCTGTCCTGGTGAGCACAGGCCTGCTGGTACCATTTCCCCAGAACTGTAGAAATAAATGTCCTGGCTTTGGCTAGAAGTGGGCAGGCCCATCCCACTCGGCAGGGCACCTTCTGAGCAGGGACAATGCAGAGGAGGTGTCTTGGTTCATTCTGGGGCTGACAGTCTCAATCAGAAGGCAGGAGGAAGCAGAGGGATCTGACCTCATGTGTTCTCTCTCTAGGTTGGGTCAGATATGCTGAGCGGGTATTGGGCCCCCCAGTCATCCCACATCTCTGCACTGCCAAGTCCCCCCAGCAGGTCATGGGCTCCTTGGTGAAGGATTACTTTGCTAGAAAGCAGGTAAGCCAGCCCTCTCCAGAGAAGAGCAGCAGAGGGTAGACTCAGGGTGGGGACAGCCTGAGGGAGAACACTGTACACTCCACAAGACAGTGTGGCCCTGGACCTCCCGGTGGAGACACTGCCTGATTGCATCTGTTCTGGGTGCTTCAGAAAGCTAAGCGCCCCCTCCCCCCTTATCCTGGCTTTTTGCTCCAGGCTACAGATGCCCCCCCCCCCCCCCTTAGCCTGCCTTTTGGTTTTGTTTGGTTTTGGTTTTTTTGAGACAGGGACTCTCAATGTAATCCTGGGTATTCTGGGACTCACTGTATGGATCAGGTTGACATCAGACTCAGAGAGATCTGCAGCCTCTGCCTCCTGAGCACTGAAATTAAAGAAATATTCTAACACACCTGGTCCTAAATTTTTTTATTTTGAATTTTACTTTTTATTTTATGTGTGTGGGTGTTTTGACTGTTTGTTTGTATGTCTGTGCACCACTTACATGCCTGGTGCTACAGAGGTCAAAAGATGCTATTAGATCCCCTGGAACTGAAGATACATCTGGTTGTGAGCTACTCCGTGGGTGCTGGAAATTGAACCCAGGTTCTCTGGAAGAGCAGTCAGTCTCCTTGACCACTGAGCCAACTCTCCAGTCCCTGGTCCCATGGTCTTAACACTATCTGTCACATGATAGATAAAACCTAGTCTAGGGTGCCTTTATGTCCCTTGCCTCAGTCCATCCCCATCTTGTATTCCAAGACTTTGGGCAATTTGAGATAAATCACACCCTTCCTTTCTTTCTTCTTGTTAACCACACTGACTAGGAAAGACAGCAAGGGGAGGGATCTTCCAAACACTGAAGCCAGCCTAAAGGTTGTATCCATCTGACAACCTCATTTTAGCCATAGGAAATGTTTCTTTGTTTATAAACCGTTTATATACAGTTGGCAAATTTCACCCCCATCATGTGTATTGAGTGGAAGGGGCAGAAAACTGGCTGTGGATTGGTACACACACACACACACACACACACACACACACACACACAATGTTCTACCTGCATGTCTGCCTTCAGGCCAGAAGAGGGCACCGGGTCCATTATGGATGGTTGTGAGCCACCATGTGGTTGCTGGGAATTGAACTCAGGACCTCTGGAAGAGCAGCCAGTGCTTTGAACCTCTGAGCCATCTCTCCAGCTCCCCCTTGCCCTCTTATACCTGCTTTGAGAGTTCTAGCATTTCTAAGTCTTCTCAAAGCTCCCAGCCCTGTGCTCTCTGAGTGGAACCCAAAGTTACAGATCTGATTGCAGGTGCAGGTGGGGACAGCTGAACCTATAGCAACCTCTTGGCCTAACCCCTAGAAGGCTAAGATCAAGGTATAGTTCCTCTTGAACTCTGCCCCTACCCTGAGTAGGGCTTTTGTGCTCTGGCCTCAATGTAAAGGTCACTGGGCAGCTGGCTCTTGATTTGTCTCAGGAGAGCGGGGTGGCCTAGATGTTGTTCCTTGAACAGCTTCAGAAAGTCTTCAGGTAAAACCTGCTCTTACCTGTGTAGAGCTGGTGGGGTAGTACTGTACATGGGGTAGGGTAGGAGCAGCATTTTGGACTCCCCCATATTCTAGTTGACATCCTTGAAGCTCTAAGTGAGTGCTCTCCTCCACAGAATCTGTCTCCAGAGAAAATTTTCCATGTTGTCGTGGCTCCTTGCTACGATAAGAAGCTGGAAGCTCTTCGGGAGGGACTTTCCACCACTCTGAATGGTGCCAGGGGCACTGACTGTGTGCTGACATCAGGTGAGAGCTGGACTCAGAAAGTGAGCATTCCTCTGACAGGCCACTCTGGCCGAGCTGCCTGGTGGCACTGATAATTGGGTTCAGCTGCCTAAAATGAAGAGGAGGATCCTGCATCCTTCCTGCCCTTAGTCTTCTTCCAGAGGAGTCAGGTCTCTGGGAGAACGATTGATATGTTCTTACAACACAGCCATCAACATGGTTTTCTGTAGAGGGCAACAAGTGTTTGTGCACACCGACAGCACTGGGGAGGCCAGGAAGGTTAAACACACAAGCATCCTTCAAAGGAAAGAGATGTTTAACTTGTCCTCCTGTAATTCTGGGAGTGGACGTAGTTTACAACCTGTCTGTCGAGCCAGGCTTTGCCCATATCCCCCAGAATTTAGGTTTTACTATTCCAGACCCTTCCCCCATAAATCTTGAGCATTGTTCTGGGCCATAAAACCCATCCTTACGAACGATGTCTTTTGTACAGCCCCAGTGACTTCTATGTTGTCTTAGGGACAGACCAAATCCTGACTCCCATGGGCATTATGTCTACATCAGTCATTCATTCTCCTTAGAGCCTGTCCAGGAACTCACTCCATAGACCAGGCTGGCCTCGAATTCATAGAGATCCACCTGCCTCTGCATCCCAAGTGCTGGGATTAAAGGCATGCACCACCACTGCCCAGCCCCTAGACCCTTATCTTGAGCATTGCTTCTGAGTCAACAAGAGACCATCTTAGGGATGAAGCCATATGTGTTTGTAAAGAGCATCAATGTAAAGACGTCTTAAGCTTTCTTGTCATCACAGAGCCAAGTTAATTGTTATCAGAAAACTTTTTTCCCCAAAAGTGTGCTGTGCTTAAATATGGGTAAAATAAGTGAGCAGTTGGTCAGACTCTCAAAGTTTTGGCCCAGCACCAATACCAGGCTGAATTGAGTTTCATCCTTGTCTCTTTGTGGATACTTCTCTGCCTGCTGTAAAGGCTGCGGAGACCCTCCACACTTTCCCACATGTGAGGAAACCAATATACACTGAAAAAAGTGGAAGATTCCTATGTACTCTAGTGAATGCTGCATTTAGTGACCCTGCTGGCAGCTCTCTTCAGATGCTATGCTTTAGAGCAGTTGTTCTCAATCTGTGGATGGCGACCTCAACTGGGATTACATATCAGATATCCTGCATATCAGATATTTATAGTATGATTCATAACTGTTGAAAAATTATAGTTACCAAGTAGCAAGAAAATAATTTATGGTTGGGGGATCACCGCAACACAAGGAACTTTACTAAAGGGGCTAGCATTAGGAAGGATGAGAACAACTGCTTCAGAGAGAGACTATGGCAAATTCGGTTGGGGATGAAAATTAGCCACTGGTGTTCTGGAAGCTTTTCAGAAGAAAGAAGGTCAAGAGCGCTTGTGGGCGCTTGTTAGGATCCAGGCTCGTCTGCTTGAATCAGACTCTGAAAGCTGATCCTTGAATGTGTGTGGACCGGGGTCAACCTTGAAGACCAGGAGCTCTCTTCCTCCCTGTCCTGTCCTGGGACTCTAGCTTTGACCAGGGTGGGACAGTGTAGCAGGAAGTATTCAATGGTGCTGGTCGAACTTCCTGAGCAGGGGTCCGGTTTCTCTAGAGCACCACATTGAGAACTCAACCTGTGCTGTGTGTTAATGGTGTCTCATGGCACCTGGTGCCTTACTGATGTCTAGGGGACTCTCCCAGGGGTTTTTCTTGGGAACCTGTATATAGAAAGAAGGCGGTATACAAAGTGTACTTTTCTGATAATGCGCAGTGTTGCGTGTCACAACCTCCAGTGCAGTGTGGCGCATAGACAGGCTTTCGCTTTGATTCAGTATGAAGCAACTACAGCATTACCTCAGGTCAGGGTTCAAAAGAGGATTCTGTTTTCACATCTTTTTAGAGCTTTTCTGATGCCAGCATTACCTTTTCCCGGCAAGGGGCTCCTGAGATATGAAATGGATTATACAGCAAGAGGGGTCCTAGCTTTCTAATGCAGAATTTCTCTGGGAGAAGCAAAGCCTGGCCCAGAGCTCTGGACCACCTGTCCTCCCAGTGACTCATTGCCTCTTGTTTTCCTCCAGGTGAAATTGCTCAGATAATGGAGCAAAGCGACCTCTCTGTGAAGGACACTGCTGTGGATACTTTGTAAGTGGCATCTTTGTAAATGGGGAGGGGCCTCTAGTGAGCTTTGCAAGCCCCAGGGCTGCCCTAATCAGATCATGTGAGTACTGAGACAGACAGGTTCCTGCAGTTTTACCAACCTGGCCTTTGCAGTGGATTCTCTAGTACTGCCAGGGGACTTGCAAGCTTACTGTATCCTTCAGGAAGAAAGGAAGTGTAGAAGCTATGTGGGGAAGAGCCACACATCTAACACTGTGACTTCTTCTGGTCCCTTTGCACCAAGAACACAGCTGTTGGGTTTCTGTTTCCCATAGTGCCCTGATGTCCAGCTAGGACTTGGGCTTTCGCTGCACAGAGAAGCAAGGAAGTGAGTCCCAGTGACACAGCCTCACGGCAATCTTGGGTAGATGTGAAATGACAATTCACGTTGGTCATTAGACCTCATTAAAAATATTCTCTGGGGGGCTGGAGAGGATTCAGTGGATTAAGAGCGTTTACTGCTTTTCCAGAGGATCCAGGTTTGTTTCTCAAGCACCCACATGGTGGCTCCCCAAAGTTTAAATACCTGCAAAGTGGTTCCCTGGATCCTGTTCCTATAAAAACTGGGTTACTACTTTGTCTTAGTCAGGGTTTCTATTGCTGTAACGAAAAACCATAACCAAAAAGCAAGTTGGGGAGAAAAGGGCTTATTTGATTTACACTTCCACATTGCTGCTCATCACTGAAGGAAGCCAGGACAGGAACATCAAACAGGGCAGGATCCCGGAGGCAGGAGCTGAAGCAGATGCTATAGAGGGGTGCTGCTCACTAGCTTGCTTCCCCTGGCTTGCCCAGCTTGTTTTCTTATAGAACCTAGTAAGTACCACCATCCCAGGGATGGCACCGCCCACCATGGACTGGACCCATCCCCCATTGATCACTAACTGAGAAAATGCCTCACAGCTGGATCTCATGGAGGCATTTCCTCAGCTGATGCTCTTTCCTCTAATGGCTCTAGCTTGTGTCAAGTTGGCACACGACACTAGCCAGTACGTCATCAGCACCAGTGATGATCTTATCTTGTCTGTTTGAGGTTTGGAGACGTGAAGGAGGCAGCAGTACAGCGTCACGATGGAGTGAGCTCAGATGGGCATCTGGCCCACGTCTTCAGACATGCGGCCAGGGAGTTGTTTGGCGAGCACGTGGAGGAGATCACCTACCGTGCACTGAGGTTTGCACCGGCGGCGGCGTATCTACGGCTGGGGTGCCCAGGAGGGGTGCTGACAGACAGCCAGAGCCGGGGTGATACAGGCGGCCCATATGCAGTGTGTGTGGTGCGCCTGGTGTACATAATGTATGTGGCTGCTCCACACGAAAGCCAGCGCTGCCTACGATAGGAGGGCCTTTTGTGAGTCTCCCCACTGAAATTATCTTGGTGACATTCAAAACTTAAATTGAAAAATGGGTAGATACGGTAAACCTCGCATGGGGGAGACTGAGGAAAGATTGTGAGTTCAAGGTTAGCCTGGTCTCCATAGTAAGGACTGTACTTCAGACAATGACCATTAAAATCCATGTTTTGATTTACAGAAACAAAGACTTCCACGAGGTCACCCTTGAGAAGAACGGGGAGGTCTTACTACGCTTTGCTGCGGCCTACGGCTTTCGCAACATCCAGAACATGATCCTGAAGCTCAGGAAGGGCAAATTCCCATATCACTTTGTGGAGGTCCTTGCATGTCCCAGAGGTAAGCGGTGCAGCAGGCCCGTAGTAACAGCCTGTCCACAGTAACCACGCAGGGCAGGTTGCTCCCTCATGTGCGGCATGCCATCCTCGGCCATGAAGTTCCTTTCCCTCAACTGTAGCGTGAGAAGTGGACAGCTGTATCCTTAGACATTCCCTTGTGAGCGCTGTAGGGATCTCCACCTGGTACCAAGGTGGCTAATGTGGAGCTGTTCCATAGGGCCCACTGGTGGAAGCTGGCTGAGACAGGCGTTGATTGCTCCCTAGGAGTTCCCCTTGCTGCACAGGGAAATTAACCATCCAGGTGTAAAGACTGGGGCAGCTGAAGAAAGTTCCTGTCTAGGCAGAGAGACAATGAGAACAGGCCAGAGCTGGGATAGGTGTAGTGCCTAGAATCTCTCGCTGATAGAGAAGGTGTAGGTACTAGAGAATGAGCGGAGCCTCTGATCTTAAGTGGTCTCTCTATGCCCCTGGGTGTGACGGAGCAGTCTCAAGACCAGGAGTGTCTAGGTCATCCTGAGTTTGTGGTGACGAAAGGTACTCAAGTAGGAACACCAGAGTTCTCAGAATGGCCCCGGGGGAGCTAGGCAAGGTGCATTGTCAGAGACGAGAAAGGGTCCATAAGGAGTGAGATAAAGGAGAGCCTATATATTTCTAGTCCATCCATGTCCCAAGGGATCTTCCAGAGGAGGGAAGCTGCTAGTGACCAGCATCTAAGGGGGGATAAGAGCAGGGAGCATCTACTTCGCCTGGGGTTGTACCCCTGTGCTACAGTAGAAACAAGATGGCTGGGGGAGGGAGCCTCTAGGAGGGCCCCTCTTGCTTTCTGGGGAAAACTGCATAGGCCTGTGAAGGAGAGAAAGTGGGTGCAGCCCGCGAGAGAGTGGACATCAAAAGTCCAGCTGTCAAGTGGCCGATCAGTGGAGTCTGAACCCCCAGGTATTGTACGTGTATATGGTAAGCAAGGGTTTCCTTATAGCTTTCTACTGAGATATGTATTCCCAGCCTATCTCCTGGCTTGTTTAAATGAAAGCTTGATGCTGGGAGTGGAAGCCAGGAACTTGAGCCTTCTAGACACACACTCTGCCACCAAGATATTCCTTCCCCTATGTCCTTTGGGGCGTGTGTGTGTGTGTGTCTGTGTGTGTGTCTGTGTGTGTGTGTCTGTGTGTGTGTGTGTCTGTGTGTGTGTGTGTGTGTGTGTGTGTCTGTGTGTGTGTATGTGTCTGTGTGTGTGTGTGTATGTGTGTGTGTGTGTCTGTGTGTGTGTGTGTGTCTGTGTGTGTGTGTGTGTGTCTGTGTGTGTGTGTGTGTGTCTGTGTGTGTGTGTGTGTCTGTGTGTGTGTGATCGGCAGGTCTAAGAGTGGCTGGTACTGACAATAGACCCACACTGATTTAGACCGTATGGCTGGGATGCTCACGCAGAGCCCTTAGCTCCCTCAGCCCTCACGCAGCCTTGTGGAGCCTGCACACTGACAGCATTGTGTGCAAGCGGTTGTGTTCATAGCTTTTTAGCCATTCTGTGCTTTTTGGGTAATTTTCAGAAGCCAGGAATCCAGACAGCAGAAATCTGCCACTTCTAAAGGCTTTTAGGTAAAACCGGTTTATAGGTAATGTATATATATATGGTAAGACTAAAGAATACCAGAACTCTCCTCCTGGGCAGGCTCCATGATAACCTCAGAGAATGCTGCGAGCCCCAGAAACACGCCCAGATCACAAGATACTGCCTGTTTGATGCTTCTGCTTCCAACTGTGCCCCTTGATGTGAAGCTCCCTTGTAACCGGCTGTCCCACAGGGAAGATGAGGTCCACCTCTGTGTATCTTTCAGGATGCTTAAATGGCAGAGGCCAAGCCCAGACAGAGGACGGCCACACAGACCGTGCACTGCTGCAGCAAATGGAAGGGATCTACTCCGGCATCCCCATGCGGCCCCCAGAGAGCAGTGCGCATGTGCAGGAGTTGTACCAGGAGTGGCTGGAGGGTACCGAGTCCCCCAAAGTCCAGGAGGTGCTGCACACCACATACCAGAGCTTGGAGCCCCGCACAGACGGCTTGGATATCAAGTGGTGACAGAGCGGGAGGGCAGGAGGGGGCAGTGCCGAGTGGAGAGCAGTGGATGTTTCACGAACAACGGGTCGCTCCGTGGCATGCAGCTTCACGTGGTGCTACCTTTGTAGTGTGTGAGGGAGTGGAATATTTTCACATGGAAAAAGCTTTTTTCCTCTCTGAGTGTCCTTTTAGCCCAAGATTGTGAGAAAGAGCCCAAAGATGAGGCCAGGGACACGCCCCTGTCTTTCAGGGGTCTTGTTTGTTTGTTTGTTTTGTTTTGTTTTTTAAAGAATCCAAAATGTATTCATTTTTTGGTTTTTGTTTTTTAAGAAAGGATTTCTCTGTGTAGCCTTAGCTGTCCTAAAACTTGCTCTGTAGACCAAGCTGGTCTCAAACTCACAGAGGTCCATTCACCTCTGCCTCCCAAGTGTTAGGATTAAAGACGTGTGCCACCACTGCCCGGCTCCAAGTGCTAGGATTAAAGGTCTGTTCCACCACCGCCCAGCTCAAAATGTGTTCTTAAAGACTCAAGCCCCTGGAGTTGTGATCCATGAACCTCAGAGTATTGCTGCGGAAATGGAAGGGCCAAGCTGCTCTATGGTGGATAACTGTGGTTTCTACACAGGTCCAGTCTTCCTACCCAGTTTGGCTCTTTTACTTGTACACATTTTTGAAAGTAATTTTGAATTCTAGGGCCAGCAAGATGGCTTATTGGTAACAACCGTAGTTTGACAATCTCGTCGTGGAAGGAGAGACCACCTACTGTAAATTATCCTCTGACTTCCACACAAGCACCGAGCCTGGCAGCTTTAAGGTAGATCCTCTTCACGGCAGGGGAAAGGCTGGTGAGAATGACAGATATCTGCCGATGGAACACTTGCTTAACATACATGAGGGCCTGATTTGAATTATTTTAAAATAAATGAGTCGAGAATGAAGAGGGTAGCCTACTTACGCTTTGGGGTTCTAAGGGAGGTCCAGCTCATCGGTTACCCTCATGGGGCAGGAAGATGCTGGTAGAAAGGGGAAACAGTGTATCCACACAGAGGAGTAGCTGTCCAGAGGTAACCTCTACACAATCACTTGACACATGCCAGAGTTCATCCAGGAGGTGATGCCTGGAGAAACCCAGGGGCAGTTTTGTAAAGCCCTTGGATTTTGCTCTTGTATGTAATTGCCTTGACTCCTCAGTGCTGTCGGCTTTGGTTTGTTTTGTTGCTCCTGCGAGACTGTCTAGGAGCGTAACTGAGTCTGTTGTAAACAGCAGTTCTCAACCTGTGGCTCGCAACCCCCCCCCCAAGGGGTTGCATATCGGATATCCTGCACATCAGATATATGTATTATGATTCATAACTGTAGCAATATTACAATTATGAATTAGCTGTGGAAATAATTTTATGGTTGGGAATCAGGACGACATGAGGAACTGTATTAAAGGGTTGCAACCTTAGGAACGTTGAGAACCACTGTTGTAAGTTATAATTTTTTGCCTTCAGTCTATATGCCTTGGTATCTGTCCCTCAAAGTAACTGATTATGGAATAAACAGTGCAGCAGGGCCTGAGTATAGAGTTGAAGGGCCCAGAAGCTGTCCTACCTATCCCAGACTACAGCCTGAGTGATGTTACCTTGTTCCTGAGTCCCTTCCTGATAGGTCAGGAGGATGCCCAGCCAGCTCAGAGCACTGAACGTCAATGGTGGGAAGGGACTGACTTCCTATCTGTGACAGCAGCTGAGGTTAGGTCTAAGATATGAGATGAATTCTGTTTTGCTGATGCTAGTTTGTGGCCCTGTGAGCTTCTCAAGACTGCAAATGGTTTTCTGTTCCTCCATCATAATGGAAGCACGAGCAGGGTGGTGGCAACACATGCCTGTAACCCCAGTACTCGGAAGGCAAAGGCAGATGAATCTCAAGTTCAAGGCCAGCCTGGTCTAAAGAACAAGTTCCAGGATAGCCAGGGCTACACAGAGAAACCCTGTCTTGAAAAAATCCAAAACAAAAGTGCAAATAGTTTAAGCACAAAGTGAGACAAGACCTGGTCAAAGCAGCATGACAGCTGTGGTCAGAGTACACAGTGTCTTCTGGTGAGTGACTGGTCCCAGCATGAGGAGACAACATAATCCCAGTTCATATCTACTCAGTATCCTGTTTCACAGTGCCTATGATCTACACGGCAGAGGACCACTTTCTTAGTTTGTTTCCTACCTGACCTGAGCTGTATTGGTTTCTGCCACTGTGGATAACCATGCTTATACACGATGAAATTCTGTCACAAAGACAGCAAACTTGGTTTCTATTACAGGTAATTTAGAAATGGTTTTATCGGGGTGGGAGTCATGGTTCAGGAGTAGACTGTGTGCCTATCATACCTGGCACTGGGTTCATCCTCTGAAACCACGAAAGCAGAAAGTTGGTGGGGAAAGATTCACTACATTCTTTCTGGTAATGTATATGTGGGATTGCTGTAAGATTTGACCCAGCCGGTGTGCCCTACCCATCACTGGTTGACATCTGGGCTTGCCAGGTGCATCACAAGTGAGCCAGCTACACAAGTTGCAGTCGCAGCTGGCAGCTAAGCTGCAGGTACTGCCTTGGGTGCAGCACTCATCTGAGGGGCACAGCTGGCTGGAAGGGTAAGGCAGGAATATGGCTTTTCATGTGGGTTCCGTTCTGCAGCTACAGATGGGAAATTACCTGAGGAATTTACTTCGGCTTGGTACAGTCCATTACAGCAGAGAAGACACCTCATACCTCACCTTTCATGAAGCACAGTGTCTCCTTGTAAATACTAAGTTGAGATGGATGTGAACCGAGTGCAGTGTGTGTGTGTGTCTGTCTGTCTAGTGCTGGGAATGGAACGCAGGTATGTCATGTGCTAGGCAAAAACTGAGCTGCATCACACACACACACACACACACACACACACACACACACACTTACTCTTTTTATTTTGAGACAAGTTCTCAGTAAGTCACCCAAGCTGGCTTTGAACTCACTCTGTAGCCTGGGCTGACCTTGCAGGTTAGGCGCGGCCAAGTAGTATGGCAGGTTTGTAGACTTTCTAGCAAGCGCCAGGAAAAGTCCAGTCGCTGCAGATGCTCAGTGACTCAGAAGCTCAGCTGCTTCTGCCGCTGTAGTAGGGCAGAGCAGACCGGCAAGGAGCTGTGCTGAGAGGGTACAATCTGCATGGAGGGAGAGGCCTCCAGTGAGGGGCGGGTCTGCTCACCCGGGAGGCTCTGAGGGGGGGGGGTGTCCGAAAAGCCCCACTTTGGGCGCCAAAATGTAGTGGTGTAAATAAAGGCAGACAGAAATTATAATAATATATTCAGCTTTAATTGGGAAAGAGACTTACAGAGCCTGAGGGTCCAGCGGAGAACAGGAAAGCAGAAGGGAAGGGGGAAGAGCACACCAGCAATATTTATTAGTAAAAAATATCCCCAGGTGACGCCGCCCTACAGGCAAGGTGATTGGCTGGGGCTACCCCTACAATTTTAATCATCCTACCTCTACTTCCCAAGTGCTAGGGTTATAGATGCAAGCTGCAAGCTACCATAACCTGTTTGTTTGTATTTATTTATTTATTTATTTGTTGTTTTTCAAGATAGGGTTTCTCTGTGCAAGAGTCCTGGCTAGCCTCAAACTTGCAGATATCTGCCTATCTCTGCCTCCTGTGTACTAGGATGGATTTAAGCCTGTGCCACCACCACCCAGCCCATACCCTGTTTATACAGTGGAGGGACTGAATCTAGAATTTGGGGATATACTAGGCAGGCTTTCTGATAACCGAGCTATGTCCCCAGCTCTGTTTCTTCTCCTTATCCCTTTCTTGTCCTCCCCTCTGCCCTTTTCTTTCTCTTTCCTTTCCCTTTCCACCCTTCCTTTTACCCCCACCCCTCTGATATCTAATGCTGGCCTTGAACTCTGGCTCATGGGATCCACTCAGCCAAACAAGTAGATGTGACTACAGATTTACATCACTGCTGGAGAAGTTTTAATAGAGAAAGTCTCAGAATCATACTTTTTCAGCCAGATATGGGGCATACACCTTTGATCACTGCACTTAAAAGGTAAAGGTGGGTGGATCTCTTGAGTTGGAGGCCAGCCTAGTTTGCATAGTAAGTCTCAGACTAGCCAGAACTAAATGGTGGAGACACTATCTCAAAAATCAAACCAAGGTCTGGAGAGATGGCTCAGTGGTTAAGAGCATTGCCTGTTCTTCCGAAGGTCCTGAGTTCAATTCCGGGCAACCACATGGTGGCTCACAACCATCTGTAATGAGCTCTGGTGCCCTCTTCTGGCCTGCAGACATGCACACAGACAGAATATTGTATACATAATAAATAAATAAATATAAAAAAATCAAACCAAAAAATCCCTTTCCTTCAGCCTTCCTCCCTGCTTCCTTCCACCTTTAAAAAATTTTTTTAAATAATTTATTTGTTTTTATTTTATGTGCATTGGTGGTTTGCCTGTGTATATGTCTGTCTGAGGATGTCGGATCCCCTGGAATTGGAGTTACACAGTTGCAAGCTGCCATGTGGGTGCTGGGAATTGAACCTGGGTCCTCTGGAAGAGTGGCAAGCGCTCTTAACTGCTGAGCCACCTCTCCAGCCCCCCTTTTGTGTTTTTGAGACAGGTATATACCTCTATGTCCAGCTAGCCACATTCACATCTCCTCTTCCACCCACTTTCCCTGTCCCTCTCATTGCCTTTCCCTTTGTAGCCAACTCCCTCCGTTCTGTTTTGTTTTGAGATACAGTCACATTTAGGCAAGGCTTGCTTTGAACTCCTGATTCTCCTGCCTCCATCTCCCAAATGCTGGGGTTACAGGAAAGCCACCGCCCAGTGAGATTCTCCTTCAGATCCTGACAGTAAATTTGGGAATGGGGGTAGCTGGAGAGATTGCTCAGCAGCTAAGTATGCTTGCTACTTTTCTAGAGGACCCAAGTTTGGTTCCCAGGATCCACATCAGGTGACTTAACCACTTTTAACTATGGCTCCAGGGAAACTGATACCTTCTTCTGACCTCTGCAAGTAACCATGTGTACCTGGCACACACAAAAAAATCTTAAACCAGCACTGGAGGCAGAGGCAGGTGGATCTTTGTGGTTTAAGGCCAGCCTGATCCATGTAGTGAGTTCCAGGTCTGCCAGGGCTACACGTGGGATGATCTCAAAAAAAAAAAAAAAAAAAACCAGACAGATAAATCTCAGTTTGAGGTCAGCCTGGTCTACAGAGCGAGTTCCTGGACAGACTCCAAAGCTACAGAGAAACCCTGTCTCAAAAACAAAAACAAAACAACA